GAGTTAAGAAAGGCTTTTGCCTAGCATGGTGAAAGTTGTAAAGAAAAGGAAGGGAAAGATATAAAACAATTCAAAAAAAGGCTAATGGAACATGAGAGAGAAGAGAAGATGGAAGACTAAAAGATGATTTTAATGATTTGAGCTTATTCAAAAATAAAAATAAGACCATAGATATATTTAAGTACATTCACAAGTATAACTAATTTGAGCAAAAGATAAATTCAATGTTAAATAGTTGAATTTGAAGTGTCACTTAAAGATATAAGTGAAGATATTAACCATATAATGCAACTAAAGAACTGAAGACGGGAGGCAGTTACAGCCTGGAGATTTGGACCATAAATGTTGATACGAGGCCAGTGGATAACATGAGGGTATTAAAAAAGAAAACAACTAAAAGCCAAGGGCTGAGCCTTGCCGTATGTCTCCATTGAGTGGGCTGGGTGGGGTAGAGGAGTCCAAACAAAGTGAACCCACAGAGGAGTTCCAGAAGTCCCAGGATAAAGTGTTTTTCAAACTTAAGAGATAATAATTTTTAAAAGGGAAGATGATGAAATTTGTTGAAAAAAGACAACTGAACTAGAAATTAGTTCATTTGATGACTTTGGAGACAGATTTTTAATTGTAATGGGGACTAAAGCCAGATTACAATGTAAGTCATTAATGAGAGTCTGTGGATGGCAAGAAAACAAAGGCCACAAATATACACTTCTCGGAGAAGTTTGCCAGTGGAAGGCGTGAGAAAGAATGTCACTTGGGTTAGCAGAGTTCAGAGAAAATTTTTTCAAGATGGGGAACACTGCACATATTCCAAGGTTAAGGACAATGAGAATTGGGAGTTTCAAGGGAAAGATGAAGCAAAATAACCTAACTAGCACCAGCTGTGATCTAAAGTAGCTGATTGCAGACTTTTAGGGTCCCAAGATATTAAACCTGGAACCAATGAGAAGACCAGAAAAACAAGAGGATGCAGCTGGAATGCTGTCATGGTGCAGAAGGGAACATAAGCCAGTATATCAGGGATGGTGGACAAAAAGCCAGTAAAAAGGCAACAAAAAGGAGGTCCAAAAAGACATTAAGACAATTGAAAATAGGTTCTCAGGAAGATACAATTCTGCAGAGCTCCCTGGAGCTAAAGCAGACTGTGAAGTCACTACATTGAACTCTTGTTCCTTCTGCATCCTAGGAAATCTGACTGTTCCTGGGTGGTTGCATCTCTTCCAAGTGGAACAGGGAGCCAAGGACTTGGATCCTGCACCTGCCATCCCCTGTCATGTCCTCCTAAGTAATACTCCTGCCTCAGTAGCCTGACGCTAATTTGTACGTCAACTAACTATGTCCTGACACAAGGCTTCTGTCTAGAAGCTGGTAATTTGCTCATCAGGGACATGGAGCATTAAATTGCTGGAGTCAAGCTGTTTCTATTCCCTTCATCTCTCAAAAATTTCCCCAAACTCAATGAGGAGAATAACAGACACATCTATTTTTAATGAAACTGAGAAGGGTTAGCATATGGAAAGAAAGTGAATATGAGTTGCTGGTAAGTGAGTTAGCTGAGGGAGATATGAATGAGAAGCAAGATGATTTACCTGGCATCCCTCCAGAAAGAATCAAGATCTGAGATACTAAGACAAGAAAAGAGGATATGGAGGCCTTAAAAATATGAGTTGGGCAAAGTAAATACCCAAGTCCAGCTCCCTCCAGCCTCCAATAGGGAGAAAGAGAAATGCCAAATTCAGACTCACTAAAAGACTGAGAGCCAATCATAGGACTATAGAATGATTCCCATTTCCCACACCTTATCACTCCCCACCTAACCACCACATCAGTAAGGCTTCTGTATAATAACAGGGAAATACAGCTAACGCTTCAGATCCTATTTAAGAAGAAGTCTCTAGGGAAGCCCAAAAACAATAGGAGAGACAAAAACAAGGACACTAAAGGAAACTTTAGCCTCTGATACCACAGCTATTATAAACAAACACAACCTAATGCCTAGCCAGATAAACATAAAGCCTCACACTAAAGTCTTGTCTACCGAGTTCCTTCTATCTGACACATCATGTCTAACCTTCAGCCAAAAATTACAAAGCATGCAAAATGGCCAAAAAAGAAAGAACTCAGTCTGAAGAGACAATGCAAGCATCAGAACAGACTCAAAAATATGTTTTTTTTTTTAAAAATAGGTAAGCACTTCTCAGGGAGAGGGGGGAAGTTGTGTGATAAAGGAATTATTATAATACACTACTTGGCTCATCTATGAATGAAATTTACATACTTATGCTTAATATGAATGTAATAGAGACTTGTTATTATAACTCTATTGGGCAGTTGCATAAACGATTCAAGAGAACATGATGTATGCCTTCTGTTTTAAAATGTAAAGGTGAAATGTCAAACAAATGAAAAAAGTAGCTAAAAGAGCTGAAAGGGTTAAAACCAAAGAATCGATTATTTTTGAATTAACTTTTCAATATTGTTTGGCTTTTTAACTTGGGTGTAAGTTAAAGGAAGTACATGTCAATAAGTCTTAGTTCAAAGTGCAAAAGGATCATATCTACCAATGAGAAATGAAGAGAGGTGGGAAGAACTACAGACAGATTCAGCAGCAGAGATGAAGGTATAAGCAAATATATTTTGAGGTGAGAGGCTGACAGGGGTTCAGGCAATGATGGGAAACTTAAAACTAATGATTTATATTTTCTTGTAGAATAAAATGTTAAATCAATTGCTGAAAATAAACAAGCTGGGTGAGTATGAAGAAAGCAAAAGAGCCTACAGTGAATTTCCTGAACGGTCAGCAAAACCTTCTTGAAGCACCACTGAGCAGCAGGATTGAAGCCGCACAGCATGCCTTGCTGAAGTAACTGTCTATATAAACCATATTTATTTCAGATACCTGATGCAATATTTCAGGTTGTCTACATGCTGCTGTTTAAAACCCACAATTTTGAAACCTATTTCTAACTTAGTCAACAAAACAGCTGTACTTTTCTTTCACATAATACAAAGGCAAATTTGCTGTTTCTTTGAATGCGGTCCATCTCTTTCGTTGATTAGGGACTAAGGTCAATGATTCAGAATTTGGATGGCCTAATTAGCATCCACTCAGCCCATTCTCACAGATTGCCACTCTTGCTGAACACAGGTTTAAAATTGGTGTCCTGAGTCATCAGGGCCACTGGTTGGAATAGCATGTGAGTTAATTAGTTGGAATGTATCACTAGCATAGAAAATAGCACAAAACATAGCCCTCTGCAAATGTGACAAATAAGACTTGGGTGTTAGGATCTGAACCCCTGACCAAGTGTCAGCAGAGCTGCCTACAAATCCTCACCCCAATGGTATTGATATTGTGCCCGTGCCATTTTTGTCATCTCTCTCTAAAGCGAGATGCTGAAGATCTTATTTTTTCAGCAAGAACCTCTGATGTGGCCCAGCGTTTCTATCTTTATAGTTTCCTTCCTAACCTATGCATCTTATTGATTCTGGCTTGGTGAGGAGTTTCTTCTTCCTCTTGTCTGCTAATCCTCATCTCCTAAACCTTGGCCCTTCATTCATTTCTCTCCTGGCACCCTTCTTCTGAGAACTCAGCTACTCCTAGTTTCAGTTGTGAGAGTGATTCACACATTTAAATCTTTCCAGGCACAACCTCATCCCACACCCTCAGGACCCGCCTGGTGTCTCTGCTGGGAAATTTCAAGGCTGCATCTCAAAGTCAACACATTTACATTGGCAAAGCACACCATCAAAGAATCAACACGAGATCAAACAGGAAAAGTATAAACATCAAAAATATTCGCGTCATTAGTGATAAAAGAAATGAAAATTGTGCAACAGTAGTTCAGAAAATAGTGGAAAGAAGAATGAAGGAGGAGAGCACACCAATATAATCAAAGCAATCTATTCCTGAAATGAGAATAGTGAAAAAGCAGTAAAATATATTGGGATATACAAAAACAATCAAGATACGTATGGTAATTTAGCATAAGCTAAAATGTGGGGAAAGGCTGGGTTTTTTTTAAGAACGGGATAATGATCATTCCTTCAGAAAAAAAAGAGTTAAATTCCAAATTCACATCATAATAACAACATATTTCTAAAAAGTAACAAAAATTTTTAAATTCATTAAGTTTTAGAAAAACGAAGGAGAATTTTGTTGTTGCTGCTGTACTTTAGGTTCTGGGGTACATGTGCAGATCATGCAGGATTGTTGTGTAGGTACGCACATGGCAATGTGGTTTGCTGCCTCCATACCCCCTTAATCTACATCTGGCATTTCTCCCCATGTTATCCCTCCCGACCTCCCCACCTGACCCCGCTATCCTCCCTTGGCCCCTCTCAACAGACCCCCATGTGTGATGCTCCCCTCCATGTGTTCTCATTGTTTGACACCCACCTATGAGTGAGAACATGTGGTGTTTGATTTTCTGTTCTTGTGTCAGTTTGCTGAGAATGATGGTTTCCAAATTCATCCATGACTCTACAAAGGACACGAACTCATTGTTTTTTATGGCTGCATAGTATTCCATGGTGTGTATGTGCCACGTTTACCTTGTTTAGTCTATCATTGATGGCGTCTTGGGTTAGTTCCAGGTCTTTGCTATCATAAACAGTGCCGCTATGAACATATGTGTGCATGTGTCTTTATATAGAACAATTTATAATCCTTTGGGTATATACCCAGTAACGGGATTGCTGGGTCAAATGGAATTTCCATTTCTAGATCCTTGAAGAAGCACCACACTGATATTTTTATAACCTTACAGTAAAGAAAGCCTTTCCCAACATGAAGCAAAGCCAGACAACATAAAGGAAAAGATGGACAAAGTTAACTGTAATTAAAGACACTGTTAATAGAATTAAACACAAGTGACAGACAGGGAAGAAAATATTTGTGCAGGTTTAGTATGTAAAACCTATAAAGAATTCCTGTAATTAAAAGATGAAAGACAATCCAGTCAGTGTGAAAATCATCAAAAGATATAAACAGGCGGCCCCCTTCGCCGCCTCTACACATTCTAGACCTTCTGTCCTGGAGAAGAAGCTATAGTCGGTCTCCTTTGTGGGCCTGGGGCGCAGCCATGGCGGACGGCGGCGGCGGCGGGGGAACGGGCGCGGTGGGTGGCGGCGGAGCGGGCCAGGCCTCTGCCGGGGCAGCGACTGGCGCTACTGGGGCCGGCGGGGGCGGTGACCCCATCAACCCCGCCTCGCTGCCTCCCGGCGACCCGCAGCTCATCGCCCTCATCGTGGAGCAGCTCAAGAGCCGGGGCCTCTTTGACAGCTTCCGCCGGGACTGCCTGGCCGACGTGGACACAAAGCCAGCTTACCAAAACCTGAGGCAGAAAGTGGATAATTTTGTGTCAACACATCTGGACAAGCAGGAATGGAATCCTACAATGAACAAAAACCAATTGCGAAATGGTCTGAGGCAGAGTGTGGTTCAGTCAGGGATGTTGGAAGCTGGAGTAGACAGGATTATTTCTCAGGTGGTGGATCCAAAACTAAACCACATCTTCAGGCCACAAATAGAACGAGCAATTCATGAGTTCCTGGCAGCCCAGAAAAAAGCAGCTGTGCCAGCACCCCCTCCAGAGCCCGACGGCCAGGACCCACCAGCTCCATCTCAGGACACTTCCTAAGAATATGCCTGTCACCTTTTGAAAGCTCCATTTTAGGCGAAGAAATGGATTCGGTTACATAAGAGAACAACTTCAGACTGAAGATAGGCCAAGGTCGTCACTGGTCTAAAGATTTCAACCTTGACTATGGGCAGTAAACAGATTGAAAGGGAAGCAGGTTCAGCAGCAGGGAAGTTGACCATGTCACCCCCTGCATTGTGCTGCCATTTGGTCCTCTGTCCAGGGGTGTGACACCAAGTAGACACTACAGAGAGAGAAACACTACAGCAACCCAGGGTTGTCCTGAAACAGACTTTACTTGAACATGGAGACTGCACATGGACTTTAGGGTTTGTGCTCTGGGATAAACAAAAGCTACAGTGAGAGAATAGAACCAATCCCAAAGACGGTTTGAAAGAACAATGACAGTAAAGGTTAACTGGGGGTGGTATTTAACAGTGCTTATTTGATATTGTCTCTCAGAGTTCCCAACTAGATTGTACAAGTCATTAGCATCAGATAGCTTTAAAGTTGTGACCTTCTTGTACATGAATCTTCTAGCCAGTTTCCTTTCCTTTGTCTTAGGTAACAAAACATGAAATCCTAGAATATGTGAAAAGTTCAGACATGAGGTATAAGGAAACTCATCTGCAGGCTCTCTGTCCAGAGCTGCTTTCTGTCCTGCGGGGGCTAGTGAGTCTTACGTATGTTTACTTTATTCTCACATTTGTGTTTTTTTTAGGAAAGTGGTCGGTAAATGGCTTATCTTTCATAATAAAATCATTTGATACTCTTAAAAAAAAAAAAAAAAAAGATATAAACAGGCATATCACAAACAAAAAACAAAAATGTCTACCAGACACAAGCAAAAAAGAGCTACCCAACTGATAAAGAATGAAAGAAACATTTTTACAGAGAAAGCATTTCTTATCTAAAAACGGAAAAAATTTAACATTTAGTGTTAGAGTACAGAAAAATGTGCCTTTATATACTAGTGGCGAAAATGTTAATCTGACAACTTTGGTGGAGAGAAATTTATCGTTATCTGGAGATAAATTCACATGCACGTGAATTATGTGTCAGAAATCCTCCTTCAAGAACTCTCCTACAACAGTAGCAGCAAACGCCTAAGGATATTTGCACACAAATGCCCACTGCATCACTGTTTGTAATAACAAACAACAGGGAAATCTCCAATGTCTGTCCATAGGGGAAAATTCAATAAATAACGTTACAAGTTTAGATTTTCAAAAACAAATCTCTTAGTTGAAGATACAGGAAAAGTTTATCTCTGAGATATGGAAATTGAGGGGAGAATTTGCATCATCTTCTTTTAATTTTTACTTTATAAATACTAACTCTTCACCTCTTACCCCTAAGGAGAAAAAGAAATAGAAAAATGTGGGCCAGATAATCACATTGGGATTAACTGAGTTTAGTGCCAGAGGGGGCAGATGTCAACAAAGACTGATGCTATCTGCATGGAAACAATCACTGGTCTCACTTTTATTTTCCAACTCTGTTTATCTCCCAGAGGAAGTATTTAGAGTAATATATAGGGAAATTCCAAACTGGAACCCATATTCTTACAAAGGCAACGTCAGAAAAGAAAGAATAGAGCTGAGGAGTAGACACAAGTCACAGAGCCAGGGAAGGAAGGGGACAGAGAAGCCGGGTTTAATAAACATCTCCAGTGCACTTCCAGTCCCTCTCGGTAAGGATGGCATCCAGCACTTGGCGGCAACAAGTGGGAGTGGCTTCCTGTTCCTGGAAGCTCAGCCCCCATTGTATTTTGAAAAGCATCCCAACCATTCTATGAGAAACCTAATATCTGTTAATAAACAAATTCCTTTTCTGCTAGGGCAGCCAGGGTGGCTTCTTTCATTTGTGTCTAACAGTGACCAATGTACTAACCATATGGCTCTATCCAGCGTGGTACCCCAACTTAATGAAAAACAGCATCTTAGACCTAGAAGAAAACTCATGATCTGAACTCCCACCCATGTAGGAGTCTTCTCTAAATCCCTTATGCCTCTGCCTAAACATTTCCCATAACGGGGAAACCACTGCCTGGTGAAGAGTCCATACTATTGTTGGACAGTTACAGCAGACCAGTTATGATTCCTTCTATAGAATCTGCTTCATGATACCACCCACTAGAGGGTCTTAGCTCTGTCCCCGGGAGCCATGGTGAGCATCTAACTCAGAGGTGCATTTCATGTGGTTTGAAAGAAGCACATGCCAGTCCTTCACTCTGAAAAGTGCTCAGTGAATATTAGAAGAATATATAAATGAATGAGTGGCATCTCTCCTTAGATGCTGTAGCAACTACAATATGATCAAGCTTGTAATTGCACCTTCTTATAAAACCCATTCTTCCAATTCCCACTCCTCCAACTTATGAACCCTGAAGCACTGACACCCAGCCCTGCTCCCCAGGACTGCAAGGATCTAAGGCCTACACAGCACGCTTGGGGAAGGTTCCCCCTGGAGATGGTGTTAGTGGATATTAATGATCAGTGCTGAGAGGGTGATTTAGTGGCACAGCCTGTAAGGTGTTTTGAAATTTGAGGCACCTGAAAAGCAGAGATAGGGAGTGCAGTGGGAGCTGTTATCAGCACATGCTGCACAGCAAGCCGACGGAAGCCCCATGGAGGGAGAGGTTACAAGGAACAGTATAGGAGAGCTGACCTGGAGCTGTGCCATCAGATTGGGGTAGAGGGTGCTGTACAGCCCAAATCCTCTGGGGACAATTAGCCACTAGAATGCCAGGTGTGAAGACAGTCTGGCTGAACTAGAACTAAATTTACGGCAAGCAGGACAAAGCCTGAAATTTATTTACTATTCCAACGGGTAGAAACAAAGGGTTTGTTCCTTCATTCATTCAACAAATATTTACTGATCACCTATTATTGTGAGCAGATTAATGCCCTATTATATCCCAAAAGATGTCCACCCTCTGGAATCTGTGGATATGGCAAAAGGGAGAAAGGGACTTTGCAGTTGTGACTGAGTTAAGAATCTGGAGAAGGGGAGATTGCTCTGCATTATTTGAGTGAGTCCAGGGTAATCACAGGGGTCCTTATAAAAGAAAGAAAGGGGCAGAAGAGTCAGAGCTACAGACAAAGGTGTGATCACAGTAGCAGAGGTCACAGTGATGTGCCCCCATGAGCCAAGGAATACGAGCAGACTCAAAAGGTGGAAAAAGCAAGAGGACCACCTTTTCCCGAGAGCTTCAAGAAGAAACGCAGCCCTGCCCAGGGATTTTGACCCAGCAAAGCTGATATTCAGGTTTCCGACATCTAGAACTGTAAGATAATAGATTTGTGTTGTTTTGGACACGAAGTTCCTGGTAAATATTACAGTGCTTACAGGAAACTAATTATATCTGCTTTGTGCCAGGCATAGTACTGAGCATTTGGCATGGAACAGCGAGCAAAATAAACCAAGTCCCTACCCTCATGTCATTTACATTCTAGTGAAAAGGGGACAAAAATAAACAATGGACCTATTAAGTCGATTATTTACTATTTAGTATGTTGGAGGTGATATGTGCTGTAGGGGAAAGTGAAGCCAGGACAGACAGGACTGTTGAGGGCTAAGGGGGAGAAGGTGCAATTTGAACCAGGCGGCCAGCATGGGCTTCATTGAGAAGGGAGCGTTTCAGCAGAGACCTGAAGGAGGTGAGAGGGTGAACCATGAAGACAGAGGGGCAGCAGATGCGTGGGGACTCCATTCAGTTGCCTGACACCTTGAGGATGGGCAAGGAGGCTGTCGAGGCCAGAAGAGAATGCTGGAGGGCTATGCAGAGGAGTGCCCTGAGCTCAGGTCCTTTCCAATGGTTTCCTTTGTCTGCTCTGATGTAGGTGGGAGGTGGGGGTGGGGAACAGGGTAGTAGCCATGGAGGCTCTGTTTGGAAAGTAGAACCAAAGGAGTTCCTGATACATTAGAGGTGGGGGCGAGAAAGAGGAGGGAAGGATGACTCCCAGTTCAACCAGGAGCATAGAGTTAAGCCGGAAAGTATAACATAGAGCTGCTTGCTAATGTCCCACTTAAGAAGTCCAAGGTATTTCCACAACCATTAAACATGTAAATAACATAAGATACCTTTTTGCCATTCAAAAACACAAAAGATAACATTTTTGTCCTTATAGATAGCTTCCTTCTCACTGTGTCCTCACATGGCAGAGAGAGACAGAGACAGAGAGATAGAGAGAGAGAGACAGACAGACAGAGAGCACACAAGAGAGAAATGGCTCTTTCCTGTGTCCTCTGATTAGGGCACCAATCCTATTATAAGGTTCCACTCTCAGACCTCACTACCTCCCAAATGCCCCACCTCCAAATAACATCATATTGAGGATTAGGGTTTCAACATGTGAATTTGAAAGGTGGTGGCAGAGTCAGGAGGGGACACACAAACATTTAGTCCCCAGTAGGCCTTAAACTGGCAAAGTGTCAGTTACAGTTTAAAAGAAAAGATACTCTTATGCTGCTTATATTAACAACAGCAACAATCCAGGGACCTAAATAGCATCAAAGTTTATTTCTCACTCACACAGTGGTTCAGGGAAGGGCAACCCAAGGTTTGTGGCTCTGCCACCCCCAGCATGTGTTTCCAAGGCCCCTCCAGCTGTGGTCATTTCTCAGGCATCAACCAGGGGAAAGAGAATGGCCAAAGTAATCTCCCTAAGAGAAGGACCTAGAAGCAGCACACGTCCCTTCCTAAGCATTCGGCCAACCAACACAAAGTCATGTGGCCACACCTAGCTGTGAGAGTGGCTGGGAAATTAATCTGCAACTGGAGAAGCGAGGGCCCAGCTCAGTGCCCAGCTCCCCTTTCCTCCAGGTGGCAGATACACTTGGGGGTGCTATTACCTGAGGAAAGGGGGAGGATGGGTGTGGGAGAGTCGGCAGCCTCCCCAGGGACATTCCTGGGAGGACGGCTGGTGCAGCCTATCTCAAGAGCAACTGGCCAATATGGATTGAAAATCTTCAAATATTAAATAGCAGTTTCATTTCTAATCAACCTAAAGAAATAATCATGTGGAAATGGCCCGTATCTTGACTGGTCCAGTGTCAGCATCTGGGTTGTGATGTACAGCAGGCGTGCAAGACATTACCATCAAAGAGGAACTGGGCAAAGGGAACAAGAGATCTCTGTTTTACCTCTTACAACTGCGTGTGTATCTATAATTCCCTCAAAATCACAAGTTCAATTTAAAAAAGGGAAAGGATCGTGAATGTGAACATCTAGCTACAAAACTAGCTATTGCAAAAGAATTGAATGGAGAAAAACAACCAGAATAACCTAAATCTCCAACAAGGGAGGGTCAGTATAACAAATCATGCGCACGATAAACTACTCTGGTTGTTCAAAACGACATTGTGGTAGGCTAGGAATGACAAAGAAGAAGATTTACAGCATAGTGTTTTTTTAAAAAAGCAGATTATGCAACTTTAGGTAAAAAAAAAAAAATCCCATTTATGCTATAACACACACACACACACACACACACCCCCGTACATACATAGTTAGAAGTATATATACCAAGATTTTTTATACCAAGATTCTACCTCTAATGATGTTTTGTCTAATTTCCCTGTATTTTATAATGCAAGAACACATGATTTTGTGTTGCTTTTATGAATAAAAATGTTTTTCAAAAACAAAAAATTATTAAAATATTAATAAATTAAATATTTTGATATTAATGTTTAAAATTTTTTAAATTATCTAAAAATTAAACTCTTTAATACATTATTTAAATATATTAAAAATTATTAAAATATTTAAAAATTATTAAATTTGC